CTTGAACTATTTGCCCAGGCTGCTAACTGTGATCCTCCTGATCTCTGCCTCCTGAGTGGCTAGGATTGGCTAGGATTACAGGCATGAGCTACCAGCACCTGGTTGAGAGCTTTTCTCTCTCTCTCTCTCTCTCTCTCTCTCTCTCTCTTTCTCTCTGGTGGTATGGGGTTTGAACTCAGGCTTCACACTTGCTAGATAGGCACTCTACTACTTGAACCAATCCACCAGCCCTGTTTTGTGTTGGACTTTTTAAGACAGAGTCTCCTGAACTATTTGCCTGGACTGGCTTTGAACTGTGATACTCCTGATCTCTGCTTCCTGAATAACTAGGATTACAGGCATGAGCCACCAGTGCCTGGCTCATTTTAACCACTTTTAAGTGTATAGTTCAGTAACATTACATACATTCATACTGTTGTACAAGTGTCACCACCATCCATCTCTAGACTTTTTTCATCTTCCCAAACTGAAATTCTGTACCTATTACACAGTAACTCTCTATTTGCCTGTCTCTCAGCCCCTGCAACCATCACCCTCATCTCTTCTCTATTAATTTGATTGCTGTAGTACCTCTCTTATAAGTGGCATCCCACAGTATTTGTCCTTTTGTGGCTAGCTTATTTCACATGTCTTCAAAGTTCATCCATATAGAATCATAATGTCACCAAAACCACCATTCTCAGGTCCCCGCTGAGCCACCATTCAAATGTTACCAGAACCAGAACTGGCTCAAGCCCAGGGAGGTCCCAGGAGGACATGAACCTCAACCCAGCATGTCAAGCTGGTGATGCAGGGGACTGTGTTTGTGGCCATGATGCCAACTGACTGCATGACATTGTCACAGAAAAATTGGTTAGGTGAGGAGTTTATTGAAGTTTTGTTTAGCAAAGGGAGAAAACATAGCAGGAGACAAAACATGTCCCAATAGGTTGGTGATGTGAGTACCTGAGAAGCACCAAGTCCTTTATACAAGGCACATTTGTATTTGTCAGTCTAGAAGTCAACAGGCCCTTATCTCTGTGCATCCTTTCATTTTGACTATCTGACATGTTAATTGTTTGCTGTGACAGCTCTCCTCTGACTGCATCTTATGTTTTTCATACTAATAAAGTAGAGACCAGGCATGGTGATTCTCTCCTGAAATCCCAGCAACTAAGGAGGCAGAGAGGGAGGTGGAAATCAAGAGGATCACAGTTCCAGATCACATGAGTCAAAAAGCCAGTGAGATCCCATCTCAACCAATAAGCTGGATATGATGATGCACACCTGTCATCCCAGCTATCCAGAATTCAAGAATTGGTTCCAGGACCCCTCTGGTACATCAAAATCCAGGGGTGGTCAGGTTTCTTATTCAAAATGGTGCAGAATTTCCATATAACCATAGAACCTATGCAAATTTTCATGTATATTTTAATCATCTCTAGTTTACTTAGAACACCTGCTACAATGTAAACGCTGTGTAAATATTTGTCATAGTACAGTTTTTAGAGAATAATGTCAAGAAGTTTGTCCATATTCTGTACACTTTTTTTTTTTTTTTAAAGTACTGGGGTTTGAGTTCAGGGCCTCCATTTGCACTTGCTCTACCACCTGAGTCATACCCCCAGCCCTAAGCACAACTTTTTTTTTTTTTTTCCCAATACCAGGGCTTGAACTCAAGGGCCTACACCTTGAGCCACTCCACCAGCCTTTTTTTTGTGTGTGTGTTGGGGTTTTTTGAGATAGGATCTCTGAAACTATTTGCCCAGGCTGGCTTAGAACCATGATCCTCCTGGTATTTGCCTCCCAAGTAACTAGGATTACAGGCATGAGCCACTGTCGCCCAGCACCTATTTTCCATCTATGGTTGGCATTGAATCTACTGAGGCAGACCCTGTGGATCTGGAAGACCAACTGTTTATGTGTATGAAAATATAGATATGTTTATGGAGGGGGAGAGAGAGAGAGAGAGGATTATGGTAAGGAATTTCCTTATAAGATCATGGGATCTGGGGGTCTGGATAGGTAAGTCTCTAGTCTGCAAAGTAAAGCAGCAGGCTGGAAACCCTTAGGCAAGAGCTGATCCTGGAGTTCACAGGAAGAATTTCTTCTTCCTCAGGGAAACTTCAGTTTCCATCCAACTTATTGGATGATGTTTCCCTGAATATTGAGGATAATCTTTTTTTGCTTAAAGTCAACTGATCATCTACAAAGTACCTTCACAGAATACCTACATTAGCATTTGAGTAATGGGGTGATGGTAGACCTTACAATGTGGAGAGGTCAGAAGGTATGACTTTAACATAATTGTGATGATCATAATTATGATAATCGTAAGTACTTAGGCTTTTGTCAGGAGCATAATTTATGTGTCTAGGTCTATCTCTTTCACTCTGCCTCTCCCTTGAACTATCCTCTTTAAATACCATAGCCCACTTCCTACACCACTCCTCTGGAATGTTTTGGGAGACATTCCCGTCTTAATCTTTGTGTGTGTGTATGTGTGTGTGTGTGACAGAGGTTTGAACTCAGAGTTTTGCACTTGCAAGGCAGGTGCTCTAATGCTTGAGCCATATGTACCTCCAGTGCATTTTGCTATGGTTATTTTATTATTATTATTATTATTTCTTTTTGGCAGTACTGGGGTTTTAACTCGGGGCTTACACTTACTAGACAGGCGCTCTACCTCTTCAGCCGCTCCTTAGCCCTTTTTTGTGTGGGTATTTTTGAGATAGGGTCTTGAGAACTGTTTGCCTGGGCTGGCTTTCAACTGCAATCCTCCTGATTTCTGCCTCTCGAGTAGCTACGATTACAGGTGTGAGCCACCAGTGCCTGGCTGCTATGGTTATTTTTTGGAGATTGGGTCTCTTGAGTTATTTGCCTGGCTGGCCTTGAACCCTAATCCCCTCAATCTCAGTCTCCCAAATAGCTAGGATTATAGGCATGAGTCACCAGATCCTGGTTCCTTCTCAATCTCAACCAGATTTTGGGACTGCAGAGGGAAAGAAGGTAGGTCTGGTCCGGAAGCAGTGGGTATACCCAATCTGGTTCAATTTTCCTCAAGCAAGAATAGTGATTTGATTTCCTCACCAGTTCCTTAGAAGAAACAACAAATTCTTCTCTCAAATGTGGCTCCACCCCCAGCATTATTATGCTAATGAGCATTTGACTTCCTGAATGTGGCTTGCAGGCATTCTGACTGGAGCAGACATCTTTTTAGCAAGGATGATATATGCCAACTCCAAACCTCTCTCCCAAGAAAATCTGGAATGGGATGGGGTGGGGCAGGATGTGTGTGGGTAGATTTCAGCTCCTGCTAAGGAAGATTCTCAATATATATTTGGCGAACTAAACACAATTGATTTTTCACTATCTGAAGGAATATCATGGATGGTCTTCAAATAGCAGTTAGATTTCCATCCTGTGGCAATAGATAATTCCTCAAAATAAATAAATTTGCGTATTTCAAATCCTACTTCCTAACAGAAATAAACCTGGATGGATGTGACCCACCACAGAAGAAACACGTGATTGGTACTCAAACTGAAACTATCATTATTCATAATGCAACATCACATGGCATTTAGTTTAATTTTCTGTGTGCAAGTTGATGCAAATAGAATGTTGTTACCTAAAACATTAGCAATTTAGTCATTTTTAAAGTTGGCAATGAGTCAGGTGCTGGTGGCTCACGACTGTAATTCTAGCTACTCAGGAGGCAGAGATCTGGAGGATTGCATTTCAAAGCCAGCCCTGGGAAATAGTTTATGAGACCCTATTTCAGAAATATCCAACAGAAAAAAAAAAAGGCTGGCAAGAGTGGCTCAAGTGGTAGAGCACCTGTATAGGGCCCTGAGTTCAAACCACAGTACAGCCTCTCTCCAAAAAATTCATGAAGAAATGTTCTACATCCTTAACCATAAAGGGAATGCAAATAAAAACTATAATGAGATTCCATCTCATCTCAGCCAGAATGACTATCATCAAATAAACAAACAAATACTGGCAAGGATGGGAGTGGTGGGGAAGAGTCCTTATAAACTGTTGATGGAAATGCAAATTAGTGCAGCCACTATGGAAATCAGTAAGGAGGTTCCTCAAAAAACTAAAAATAGAACTACCTTATGATTCTACTATACCATTCCTAGACATACGCTCAAAGGAGGTAAGTCAGCACACAATAGAGATACCTGCACAGCCATGTTTATTGCAGCGCTGTTCACAATAGTCAAGTTGTGGAATTAGCCTGGATGCCCAACAGCAGATAAATGGATTAAGAAGATGTGATATATATATGTATATATGTGTGTGTATATACATATACACATACACACACACACACACACACACACGCAGCAGAGTATTATTCAGCCACAAAGAGGAATGAAATTACATCATTTGCAGGATGTAACTGGAGATCATCATAAAATAATCCAGACTAATAAAGATAATACTGCATGCTTTCTCTCATACACAGACTACAGCTCTTAAAGAAAAAAAGGACATGAACATAAAAGGGAACCAAGGGGAAGAGGGGACAAGTGGGAGTGGGAGGGGGAAAAGAAGGGGTGAGGTGGGGAGAATTTGAACAAAATACATTGTATGTGCATATATGTATGTCATAATGAAGCCCATTTTTAAAATTAAAAAATGGGGGGGACAGGCGATAATAAAGAGTAATAGAGTGGGTGAATATGATCAAAGTACATTATAAATATGAATTTTATAAGTATGGATATAGATAATGAAATATCACAATGAAATCCCTCACTTTGTACAATCAATATACGCTAATTAAAAAAAAAAAAAAAGTCGGCAAGGAGATCGTCCAGTCTTTCAAGAGGGGAATTGGATGGCCCGCAAGCCCCGCCCCACACACCTGAACACCCTTGGTCTAGGTGAACCACATTTCCCAGCTGCCCCTGCAGATCTCCGGCGCCTGCGCAGTGTCACGAAAGGGGCCCGCGGAACTCCCGCGCTTTCCGGCTGCAGCTTCACCTCGCCCGGTGACTGTCCTCGCCATGGAGGGGGCTGCAGTGGTCGCGGTGGGCAATGCGGGCGCTGCAGAGGCTCGGGTAGCCGCGGCCACGCCGCCCCCACCTCCCGCGTCCCCACCCGCGCTGACCCCCGCGCCCGCGGCGGGGGAGGAGGGCCCCGCACCCCTGCCTGAGGCGGGGGCTCCCGGCTGCTCGGGCTCCCGTCCCCCCGAGCTGGAGCTGGAACGCAGCCTGGGCCGCTTGCGAGGCCACTTCGAAGACTACGACGAGGAGCTGGAAGAGGAGGAGGAGATGGAGGATGAAGGCGAGGAGGAGGAGGAGGAGATGAGCCACTTCTCGCTGAGGCTGGAGGGGGGGCGGCCCGAATCCGAGGACGAGGAGGAGGTATTTATGGTCCCCGTCGGCCTGGCCCAGGCCGATCCCCCTCCCCGCCATGCCCGCCTGGCGCGGCCAGTGGCGCGCAGGCCTCTGTCCCCGGTCCATGCCCTGCAGGTCGCGTAGGGGTCCCGCTCATTCATTCTGCGAAGAATTATTGAGGCCACTGGATTAGGCGTCTAGGGTATGGTGCCCCTGCCCTCCGCGACTTTAGTAGTCGGACGGGAGAAATAGTCACTTTCCGCAGGGTGCTGGGGCGGGGGGCTGATAAACCCTCTCCTACCTGTTCGCTCTTTGATTGGAGAGTTTTTAAATAACGTGGTATAGTAACAGATTCTTCATCGAGTTAGACAATGCACTTTACCAGACCGAATTAATTTGTTAAACTTGAACATCAATATATGGAAAAGTTTGCCCGTTTCGGAAGGTGTAAAGCAAGATGCCTGCCTTTCGCTGTCAACATACGATGTATCCAAGACAATCTGATCTGTTGGAAACATTGCTTTGGATTGGGTCATTGTAACTTCCAGCTGTACTTTGAAGGGTTGGAGGTATACGTTTCCATGTTGCAATTAAGTTACACATTGTTTATGATGAGCTCTTGAGATTGGGTTTAAAATTGTTTTGTTTTGAGACGTAGTCTCTGTTTTCTCAAAAGTCCTGAACTCAAGCGATCCTCCTGCCTCAGTCTCCGGAGTAGCTGGAAGTACGGGCCACCTCGCCTGGCTGGTTTAAGGATTTGAGAAAGTTGTAAAAAGTATCTTAAAACTATTACCTTTGCATTTCAGCGCCTGATTAATCTCGCTGAGCTGACCCCATACATCTTGTGTTCCATTTGCAAAGGGTACCTCATAGATGCGACTACCATTACAGAATGCCTTCACACCTGTAAGCATATGGTTCCCATTTCTGAATAATATTTTCAAGTTTTGAAATGCTTTTAAAGTGTCCTAATTTAAACTTTCTTTTTCAACAGTTTGTAAAAGCTGCATTGTAAGACATTTTTACTATAGCAACAGATGTCCAAAATGCAACATTGTAGTACATCAGACACAACCTCTTTATAACATAAGGTAAGAGGGATATACAAGTAACAAGTACTTTAAGTATACTTTATCTGAAAGTTTGCAATTGTGTAGATGGGAATAAATTCTTGACCTCCCTCAAAATTAGAAGAAAGAGAACTAATATATTCCTTTAAGAAATGCATGTAGAGCACTTACTATGTACCAGGCACTGTGACATCTGCTGGGGTTTAAAAATAAAAGAAAGAAAAAAGGGAGAAAAGGATAAAAAAAAAAAAAGAAAATTTTGAAGCTTTTAATCCCATCACTCAAGTTAATGGGGATAGTTTAGTGCTGTCACTTTCAATTTAGAGTATTTAGAATGTTCTTTTAAGAAGTAACACCAGAAACAATTGGCCTCTTCGGTAAGGTCTACCTGTCATAGATTATTATGGTTTATTAACCAAGTTGTCAGTAAATGTTCAGTTTCTACGAGAAGAAAAATGCTAAAAGTATATGCTTTCATTCACTTAGCAAATACTACTGAGTTTTGTTACTTTCATAGAAAAGTGCTTTGCAGATGATACACAGAAGTTAAAAATAGTCTCTGCCCTCTAATTCACATTCTTACTAAGGAATAAGACCAGTATACAAGGAATGATATAGTGAACCATTGAAGAATCTGTGAGTACTTACGATTACATATGATTAGTTGAGGTTTTTTCAAGTGAACTAGATCTTAGGTGCTGCAAGTGCTACCTTGCTTCCGATAAAGGAGATAGTCACTCCCAAGGGAAAAACATGGTTAACTCACTCTGCCAAAATGCATTTTTCTGAATTCTGAGGTATTCTCCATCCTTTCCTTTTATTAGGTTGGACCGACAGTTACAAGACATAGTGTACAAATTAGTGATCAATCTAGAGGAAAGTAAGTTTCTTTTATTACATAGTTGTGAATCCCAGCATCTCTGACTCTGCTAGTTACATTTTAAGTGTAATTTAGTCTGTGTTTTATCATTTTTTAGGAGAAAAAAAGCAAATGCATGATTTCTATAAAGAAAGAGGTCTAGAAGTACCTAAACCTGGTAAGTTTGGGTGTATACTGTAATGTATTTATAGATTAAAGAATACTAACTTTAAAATCAATGCCCTTTGAGGATCTTTTTGGGAATGACTAGTTGTTATATGATCAAAGAGGGAGAGATATTTTGAAGGAAATGCTGTGGTATAACCCAGTTTAATTGTTTATGAGAATTAAGGGATGCAGGCTCTGGAGCTAGATTTTCTGAGTTTATTCATAGCTCTGCTACTGTACTAGGTGACCTTAGCAAATAACTTCAGTGTCTCAGTTTTCTCATCTGTAAGATAGGGATGATAATGGCATTTCATTTAAAAAAAAATTTTACATTGAGCAATACAAGCACTTAAAACAGTGCCTGGCACACAAGTAACTGTTCAAACATTGTTTTTGAAGCTGGTGATGTCACAATATGGAAATCAGATAGTTTTGGATTGAAATCCTGGTTCTATCTGGTGACTTTAGGCAAATTGTCTAATTGACTAAGCCTCAGTTTCTTTCCTTTGTTTTCTTTCTTTCTTTCTTTCTTTTTTTTTTGCGGAACTGGGATTTGAACTCAGGGCCTCGGGCTTGCTAGTCAGTCTCCCTACTGCTTGAGCCAAACCTACAGATCCTTTTTTTTTTTTTTTTTTTTTTAAACTGGTTATTTTGGAATTGGGGGTCTTGCAAACTATTTGCAAGAGGTTTAATTACTTAAACCTCAATCCTCTTGATCTTAGCCTCCCAAGTAGCTTGGATTACAGGCATGAGCCACTAGCACCTGGCAAGCCTCAGTTTCTCAGTCACTTGTGGTTTTTGTTTTTGTTTTTGTTTTTTGTTTTTAAAGAATAGTGTACATCATAGGATTATAATAAGAATTAAACGAGACGATGCGTGTAATATGCAAAGCACGAGCCCTCACATATAGCAGTGTTATAAAGTGTTACATACAAATATTGTTGCTGTTCTGATGAGTTCTCTCTGTGACCCTGATAACCTAGCCGCCATGCCTGTTTTCTTTTGTGGAGTGGTCCCCCACGCTTGCCGCTGATTTCACTGTTTTTTTTGACAGATGAGCTGATGTTATGAGTGAAAGAGAGATTGATCGAGTACTTTATGACCTTTTAATCAATGTAGTTACAATACCTTTGTAATTTTTTTCAAAGATCTCAATGTATGAAATTTTTATCCTAAATCAGCTTTTTTTGTTTGGCTACAAAATAGCTATTCCACAGCCAGTCCCTTCAAGCAAAGGAAGAGCTAAGAAAGTCCTAGAATCAGTGTTTCGAATTCCACCTGAACTTGATATGTCTTTATTACTGGAGTTCATTGGGTGAGTACCCTAAAAATCTACCTTTTAACTTTATTTTTTCCTCTTTGGAAGAACTGCTGTAATATCTTAACTTTTACATAGAGAAAGAAAAATTTTTTTTCTTGTCTCCCTGTGTTGTCTGGGCTGGCCTTGAACTCTGGATCTTACTGCCTCAGCCTTCCAAGTGCTGGGATTGTAGGCATATACCACCATGCCTGGCTAAAGAATTTTTTCTTTTTTTTTTTGGTGGTACTGGAGTTTAACTTCAGAGCCTCCTCCTTGCTAGGCTGGCACTCTACCACTTGAGCCGTGCCTGAAGCCCTAAAGAATTTTTAAGTCCCAACAATTACAAAATTATCCTGAAGTCAGGTAAAATCAAGTTTTTCTGACATTTCCTTAAAAATTAATTGCAGAATATTTATTTTAGAAAAAGGTATAAAAAGTCACACAATAACCACTGGTATCCTTTTGCTGTAGGGCATATCTGATCCTAGCACTCAGGAGGCTGAGGCTAGAGGACTGGAAGTATGAAGCCAGCCTGGACTTCATAGTAAAACTGTCATAAACAAAATTTCTCAAAATTAAAAATTAACAAAACAAAACATTACTAATAAAGCAAAAGCCCTTGACTAGTTCATTCTCCTCCTTCCTAAAAGTAGTACTAGGAAATCATTCTTGTGCATTTTTCCTGTTTTTACCAACTGTATATCCATTCTGAAGCTATATGTAGAATTGTTTTGCCAACTTAAGAGCTTCTGGGGACTGGGGTTGTGGTGCAGAGGTAGAGCACTTGAGTCATATGCTTAAGGCCCTGGGTTTGATCACCAGCACCATAGAAAAAATTAATGGTGTTTTCCAAGTTATTTTTTCCACTCAACTCTGCATGACTCAACCATTCTGAGATGGGTGGCTCTAGTTCATTTGTTTTCACTGCTGCTTATTATTCCCTGAAAATCAACATGTCATAATTTCTCTTCTCTGGTACTGCTGAATATTTTCATTATTTCCAGGTTTTGTTTTGTTTGTTTGTTTGTTTTGCTATTGCAATGTTGCCATAAAAGTTTTTGTGCACATTCTGTGTATACGTGAGGGTATAGATTTGTTGAGAATATATATTCCTCTTCAACTTCACAACTTCACCTGATTCTTCCAAAGTAGTTACATATCTTTCTAACTCTGATAAATAAAGTGCTTCTTTCAAATAGTTCAGCGTGTGGTGTGCTTCTTTACACTGCAATGGTCATGCATCACACTGTGGTTTGCAGACACTATGCTTATGTAGCTTATAGAGTAAATTAAAATCCCCTTCTTGGAGAAATCTGCATTCCCCATTTTGTGTCATTGATGACTATTTTACTTCTCAGTCATTTCCTCCTTATATAGCTCTAGGCTGCTTGTTTCATTTATTTAGCTTCTAGCTTGTGTTATATTGTATTTATCTCCTTATGTCATCATCCTGTGTTCTCAACTTAAGATATTGAGAACCATTAAGAGACAGGAAAACCTCTCTTATGCCTTCAAAAAAACAATATAGTAGTGGTTGATGGTAATGAAGTAAAAATCATTTTTGAAGGACAACAGGTAATTCCAAATTTATATCAGGCAATTTCTTTCTTTTTTCTTTTCTTTTTTTTTTTTTTTCTTTTGGTTCAGGGGCTTGAACTCAGGGCCTACACCTTGAGCCACTCCACCAGCCCTATTTTTGTGATGGGTTTTTTTGAGATTGGGTCTCAGGTCTCTCAAACTATTTGCCTGGGCTGGCTTTGAACCGCAATCCTCCTGATCTCTGCCTCCTGAGTAGCTAGGATTACAGGTGTGAGCCACAGGTGCCCAGCTAATATATCCAGCAATTTCTGTCATTAAAGAGTTTGTTTGAGCTGGTGGAGTGGGTCAAGTAGTAGAGCATCTGCCTAGCAAGCACAAGGCCCTGAATTCAAGAACCAGTACCACACACAAAAAGAAGTTTGTTCAAAGCTACATGTCTATCAGGAAGCTAGTTAACCAACTATATCTATACATGAGTGTGTGCTAATGTAATAATGTGTGTACTGATGGGGAACAGTCTCTAAGATGTATTAAGTTAAAACGCAATGTCAGAAGAGCAAGGCACATAGTCCAGATGACCATTAATGGCTTTTTTTTGTTTTTTGCACATATATACACATTTTTGACAAATGTGAATAGTCCATTCCTTTTTAAAGGACATTTAAAAAAATCTTAATGGTGGTTGTTCCTAGGAAAGGACATTGGTGTCTGTAAATCTAAGTCTAGGATGAGGAAGTGTTATGTCTCATCGTGTTTGAATTTTTATCATGTAACTTTTTTTGGTGATGGTGGAGCTGAAGATTGAGCCCAAGGCCTGCACATGCTAGCTCAGGTTTTACCACTGAGCAATATCCCCAGCCTTATGACTTAATTTTTAATAAGATTAATTTGTTGAAAATTGAAGGTGTTTATTGCTTCTAAATTATTTTTGAGAAATGTAATCTTTTCTGTTCATAAACAGTAGGCCCTTGAAATCAGTTTTTATACCTTTTTTTTGAAACATACAGCACAAAAGTCAGGCTACTGGGATAATGCGTGAAGCTGTTTCATGGCAGGATGCATGGCAGGTGTGTTTAGTCTGACATATTTAATGCAGCTGGTAACCCTGCCTGAATTGGAGGAAGAAAACCACTGAGCCAAGTGCGGCCTATACACAGTAATTTTTCTTTTTCTTCTTCCCTTTTTTTTTCTTTTCTTTCTTTTTTTTTTTTTTTTGTGGAACTATGATTCGAACATGGCCTGGTGCATGCTAGGCAGCATTCTGCTACATGAGCCACACCCCTTTTTGCTGTTTGGTTATTTTGTGCCGGGGACCAACCTGGGCCAAGATCCACTTATCTATCTCCTACCACATAGGTGGGGCCACAGGCATGTACCACCATGCCTGGCTTATTGGTTAAGATGGGGTCTTGCTAACTTTTTCCCAAGCTGGCCTCAAGATTCAATCCTCCCAATTAGCATGAGCCACTGCCCCCAGCCACACAGTGATTTTTCAATCATTGGAATATAAAATTAGATTTCCCTACATTGAGTGTGTGTTTTGTGATCTTTTGACAATCTCTTTTTTATGCTGTAGTTTCTGTGTATAAAGTAGATTATTGAAAGAAATAATTTAAGATAGCTAGTGTAGTATATAGAAAGAGCTTAGGTTTTGAAGAGTCTTAACTCAAGGTTAACCTTTGGGATATAGCCTAATTTCTCTGATCTAATCAATTCTATTTTTTGTTTCTTTATTTTGTTTTGTACTTTTTGCATTATGGGGTTTGAACTCAGGGCCTTGTGCTTGCTAGGAGAGCATTCTACCTCTTGAACTACACAGCCCTTTTGTTTGTCCATCTCTCTGTCTCTCCCTCTGTCTCTCTCTCTCACACACACACACACATACACGTACACTGTTCTTTCTATTTCTCTCTCTCTCTCTCTCTGGCAGAATTCTGGGGGATTTTTGTTTGTTTGTTTCTTGTTTTCCTGGTGCTGAAGCTTGAACCCAGGCCTCATTAATACTAGGTGAGTGCTCTACCACTGACCTACATTCCCCACCCCAGTCCGTATTTCTAGATTGGAATTCTAACCAACTCACAGGATTGTTGTAAGAATCAACATTCATGTTCTTAACATGTCTGAACTATTATCAGTCTGTGAATATTGAAGTAATATAGGGCCATTCGAAATAAAAGTTAAGGACTGGCAGAGTGGCTCAAGTGGTGGAGCACCTGCCTAGCAAGCGTGAAGCCCTGAGTTCAAACCCCAGTACCACCAAAAAAAGAAAAAAGAAAAAGAAAAGTTAAGTGGTGGGTGCTATAATGTGTACAATGTATACACTAAGGAAAATGGACTTATATGAAATAGGGATGTGGCAAAAAATAGGTGCAGCTGTAAACTCAGTAGTGTTTAGTGAACTACAGAGGTAATATTCGACATTACGCTGCAAGAATCCACATTTAAGAGAGAGGTTGGTAAACAGATCTAATCAGAATAGTAAAAGAAAGGTGTGAAAATTTGTCATAGTGGGCATTGGAACAAAAATATTTAGATCAAAAAAGAGAAAGCATTGATGTATTCAAATGAGTTTCAGATCTTTAGAGGGTTAAGTAAGATTGTTCTAAGCCAGGCATGGTAGCCTATGTCTGTAATCCCAGTAATAAGGAGACTAAGGCAGAAGGTTTACCAGTTTCAGGCAGCCTGTCTTATGTAGAGACAGCCTGTCTCAAAACAACAAAAACCAGGTTGGTTAAATTCAGAAAAGCAACAGGCAAAACAGGGACTAGTAGGTATATATCATAGGTGGGAACACGTTTGATTTACTGCAAGCAAGTGAGTTCTAATGAAGTTGTCCACAACTAAGTATTTTCTTCAGATACTCAGGCGGAAGTCAGGTTCCTGGATACCACGCATTCTATAGAGATCATTCTTCTTTTCTTCCTTCCACCTTTCTCTTTTCTTTTTTTGGTGCTGGGGATTGAACCCTGGACCTCATGCATGCTAAATAAGAATGTACTGAGCTACATATCCAGCCCAAGAGATCATTCTTGGAATGAATAAGACTGTTTTATAACTCTAAATCTGAGATTTATATTATATTTGCATGTGTATTTTATATTCATATGTAAGGTATATTTGTTTATATGTATTATGTTGTATATTATGTGCATTAATTTATAATTTATTAAATTATGTAATATATTTATTACGAAGAATAGTCAGGGGCTGGGTGTGGTAGCACATACCTGTAATCTCAGCTACTTGGGAGGTAGAAATAGGAGAATCAGAGTCCAAGGCCAGACCTGGCAAAAAACATGAGAGCCTATCTGAAAAATAAACTAAAGCATAAAGGGCTTGGGGTGTGGTTCAAGTGATAGAGCACTTTCCTGGTAAGGCCCTAAGTTCAAGCCACAGTACTACTCCTCCCCCAAAAAGTGATGAAGCTGTTAATTAGTATGTAATCATTTTAGAATGTACACTTATATAAAAAAATCATATTGTATGCTGTAAATTATACAATTTTTATCCGTCAGTGGTAAATAAAATCTGTTTTCCATCAAAAAATATATTTACCTTCTGAAATTGAGTATGGAAAGTAGTATAAAATGCTGGTTAAAATGTTTTTTGCCTTACCACCAGGTGGCAGAAATGATAATATGCTTATTTATTTCATAAACGTTTTAATGACCACGTTTTATAATTACAACCAATTGATGTTTCTCAAATATTTATATTCATGTTATTTTTCTGTTTTATGACTAAGCAAATGTCAAGTATTAAATACTGATTAACCTTGCTCTCATTTTTCAGTGCTAATGAAGACACAGGACATTTTAAGGTATTTTACCTTTATGTTTCATTCATTTCATAAGAGGATACAAATTTTTGGTCCGGTTAACAACCATATGGAAACTGTCTTCAGTTATGATAAAAATATTTTATAAGTTATTGAGATATGTATATTCAACAGTTATCTGTTATAACAGATTTATGAGGGTAAGTTACTAAGTAGGAATTTGTCATTCAGAACAGTGGTCTAAGGAAAATAAGTGAATTTTTTTTTTTTTTGTAGTCCTGGGGTTTGAACTCAGGGCCTCACACTTGCCATTTGCTGGGCAGGTGCTCCACCTCTTGAACCACTGAGCAGCCCAATAAGTGAATGATTCTTGAAGTTAAAAACCAAATGGTATGTTAATTTGGTGATTTTAAAAATTTCAAGACTGATGTGTGTGGCTTACGCCTGCAATCCTAGGTACTTGGGAGGCTGAGACTGGGAAGATCAAATATTTTTGGCTCAAGTTAACCTGTTACCCCAATAATTCACTCAGCCTTTAACAATAAGAAGGAACTGCTTTGTAACAGATTTAAACTCAGACTTGTATTAAGGGCCCTAAAATCACAGTGCCATTGTGTACAGTGTTGCTGCTGTAGTATGAGTCATTCAGGAAAAGGTAACTTCTTCAAAAGGATAAATAAGGCTTGTAATTACATGGGCTTGTAAATATTTAAGGAAGGTAACTTTGATCTGTTTAGATTTTCAGTGTCTATCAGAATCTTTACTGAAGGTTGGGTGGATTACACCTGGTCGGCTATACTCTTTTTGTGAACACACCAGCTCAGAGACAGGAGTTAACACACAAGAGCAGGCAGGTACTTCTCTGGATGCAGTATATTGTAGAGGTCTCTCAGATCCGCGTGATTGAGGCAGTGCAGTGTTTCGTTTCCATGATTTTTGGTAAACTTTAGTCCTCTTCTCTAAATTGTAAAGTGTCAAACCAATGGCTCACTTTAGGAAACTGTTTCATAGCATTTGTTTAGGAAACTGTCATATCATTGATACATTTTATAAAACAAGTGGGAAAATGGCTAATATGTTTCTATATGGTATAATCATGGAGTTACATGCTCCTAGCATTCCTGGATGACATCTTTCCAGTGACCCACAGGAACCTCACAGGCCAACAGTTTTAAACCCTCATGAAGAGCAAACTAGAAAAAAAAAATTCAAATATTCTTCTGTTTTTATAAAAGCATGTATGCACCTAGAATATATAGTTAGCTGAGCATGGTGGCTCAGGCCTGTAATCTCAGCTACTAGGAAAGCAGAGATCAGAAGGTTTGAGACAGGCTGGGCAAAAAGTTATCAAAACCTCATCTCAATAAATAAGCCGGGTATGGTAGTGCAAGCCTGTAATTCCAGTTACAGGTGATGCATAAGTAGGAGGATAATGGTCTAAGGTTGACCCCAGTAAAAAAACTCAAGACCTTATCCAAAAATAACTAAAGCAGAAAGGGCGGGGGAGGGGGGAACATGGCTCAATTGGTAGACCACCTGTCTAGCAAGTGTGAGGCCCTGAATTCAAGCCCAGTACCACCCCCTCAAAAAAAAAAAAAGTTTTCATAGTTCTGATCCTCACACATCAAAAAACATGTGATGACAATTCCACCTGTAGAGTATTCTTGCCAAAACAAATGTGAAGGTGATCGTGCTTTTAGGTTTAATTGCTAGTTTCCAGGACATACAGGGAACAAATGACAGTGAAGGAATATAATAGACCAGATCTTATAGTGGAATAGTACCTGCCTAATTATTCAGTTTCTTCAGTAAATCAATGAAAAGGGAAAGAGGAGAAGGAACCTATAGAAGCAGTCTATTGATTAAAATAGCTCAAGGAACATATAAATTAATTGCAATGTATTAACTTTATTTGAATTTGATTTGAAAAAATACTGTTTAAATTTTTATGAAATAAAAGCATCAAATCATAAACAACCCAAATATCCATCAACTAACGAATGGATAAACAACAGGTGGTATATCTATGCAATGGAATATTATTTGACAGTATAAAGGAATGACATACTAATAACATACATGAAAGAACCTTTAAAACATGCTAAATTGTGTCAGGTGCCAGTGGCTCATGCCTATAATCCTAGCTACTTGGGAGGTTGAGGTCAGGAGTATAGTGGTTCAAGGCCAGCCTGGGAAAATAGAAGGGCGGTGAGGGGGAAGGAAGGAAGGAAGAAAGAACGAAGAAATGTCCAAAATAGGGAGATCTATAGAAACAAAGTAGATTAAGTGGCTGTCAGCGGCTAATGGGAGAGATAAAAAGGAAAGTGACTATTAATTTCTACATATTTCTTTTTAGGATGAAGAAAACATTCTGAAATTAGTAATGATTATACTTTGTAAAAATACTAATATGAGTTTAATTATACACTTTTTTTTTGAGTGCTGGGGGGGAATCTAACCCAGGGCCTTATACATGCTAGGCAAGTGCTCTACCACTGAGTTATATCTCCAGACCAAATTGTACACTTTTACTTATTTTTAGGATTTTTTTTTTTTTCAGTACTGGGGTTTGGATTCAGATCACACATGCTAGGCAGGAGCTCTACCACTTGAGCCATTCTGCCAATCCTTTTTTTGTGTTGGCTATTTTCAACTTAGGGTCTCTTGAACTATTTGCTCGAACTGATCTTAAACTGCAATCCTCCTCATCTCTGCCTCCTGAGTAGCTAGGATTACAGGTTACAAATTGTAACCAGAACGAATTTAATAGTATGTAAATTGTATCTTAGTAAAGCTATTACTTTTTAAATAACTAAGCCAAGATCAAATAGAAACTGAATAGAAGCATTACTTATAATTTATTTAGTATAAGCATTTTGGGAATATAAAACTGATAAAATATTATTAGTATTTAGAATTAGTATTAGAATCTGTCACTGCTTTTTTTTTTTCATGAAATCTGTATTTTTATTCTCTCAGCCCTAAAAAACCAAAAAAGATCATTTTCTACTAGAAAAAAAATTGGTAACTGGATGCATGGCTCAAGAGGTAGAGCTCTTGCCTAGCAAATGTAAGGCCCTGAGTTGAAACCTTAGTACCCCCCACCCCACACACACACAAAAGTAGGTCATCCTAGGCAAAAAGTTAGTGAGATCCCATCTCAATGAAAAGAAGCTGGGCATACAGTGTGTGCCTGTCATCCCAGCGATAGCAGGAAGTGTAAAATAGGAGGACTGTGGTCCAGGTGATGGCCCGTGCAAAAAGTAAGTCCCCATCTCCAAAATAACCAAAAAGAGCTGGAGGCTTGGCTCAGGCAGTAGATCGCACACACACAGCCCCTAAGTTCAAACCTCAGTACTGCCAAAAAACAAAACAAAAAAATTGGAGTAATCCCTGAAACTTGAACATTACTGGGTATTTTCTGGCATCAAGGAATTTTAAGGTATGATAATGATATTATACTTTAATTTTTAAAAAACATTAAACATTAAAAAGAGTTCTTTTGAAGTATTTACAGGTAAAATATCTGAGATTTCCTTTAAAGCTATCTGGGGAGTGGGGTGGGGGGAGGAAGTAGTTGGAATGGGAAATGGATGAGTATTTCTAAAATAAGATTGGCCTTGAGTTAACAAAGCTAGCAGTAAGTATGTAAGGGTTCGTTATGCTACTTCTTCTCTCATGTTTTGAGCCATAAAATGGCCGGTTTTAACTGGTAATACTGTTTATTTGCAGGCTGTGTCTTTAAGAGGCATAAATGTATTGTTTCAGAAACAAAAGGTACCATTAACTGCATTCTGTGACTGTTTTCAGAGTACTTACTGTTTTTCTTTGACTTCCATGTTTATAATAGGTGTTATAGTGTATCACATCCCACAATTCCAGCACACATGTCTAGATGTCTGCACTTTCCATATCAGAAAGAAAACTCTTTATTACAGATTTCCTTTTTTGAGTTGGAATCTGCTGCATTGCCCAATCTGGTCTCAAAATCCTGGGCTCAGGTGATCCTCCCACCTGAGTAGCTGGAACTACAGACATTCACTACCACATCCAGGTTATTTTGGAAAATGTTCACTCATACAAAAGTAGACAGAATAGTGTAACTGCTGTGTTATAGGAGTGCTGTTACTTCCACTTCAGAAATTATAAATCATAGCCAATCTCATTCTTCTATGTCTTGACTGTTGTGCTTCCTCTCATAATTTTGAATCCGAGGTTATGTAAATACATAACTTAATTTGCTTCTAAAAGATAAAGACTACTTTTATAAACAAAGTGATGCTGCTGCCCTTTTTTCAGAGGTATTGGGGGATTCAGACCCAGGGTCTCACACATGCTATGCAAGTGCTCTACCACTGAGCTATAACCCCAACCCAATATTACACTTTCTAAAGTTAACAGCAAGGGTGGAGGTGGCTCAAGCAGTAGAACACCTGCCTAGCAAGTGAGAAGGCCTGAGTTCAAACCCTACTGCCACCAAAAGTAAAATTAACAATAATTTCTTAGGGCTGGGAGCACCGTTCGGTGGTATAGCAAGTACTTAGCATGTGCAAGGCCCTGCATTCAATCTCCAGCACACAAAAAACATACATAATAATTTTTAAATCAGTGTCCATATGTTATTTAAATTACCTAGATTGCATTTTCTAGAATTATAGTATTAATAACTTTAAATTAATTTTAAGAAATACAATAGAAATTGCTTTATAGGTTTTGTTTAAATCAGGATCCAAATAAGGCCTATATATTATTATTAGCATATCATTTATATGATTATTTATTTATTTTGGGTTATATGTCTCTCCTTCATCTTGCTTTTTTCTCCCTTGAACTTTTTTGTTGAAGAAATCAGGACTTTTTCTTTTTTTTTGGTGGTGGGGGCATGGGGTTTGAACTCAGGGTCTCACACTTGCTAAGCAGGCACTCTACTACTTGAGCCACTCCACCACTTCCCATCCCCCCCCCTTTTTTTAAATTTGTCTTGTGGATCATTTTAATCGGAATCCAGGCTTTCAAATCTATGATGTCATTTACAACCAAGAAAAAAACAAACTTCATGAAATTACAACTCTTTACCTCTAAATCCTCATTAAAAAGAATAGCTAGTGTTCTTTAACTAGTGGTACTGAAATGACAAGGGAAGACTAACTTACCAAATGTCTCTAGATGGTAATATCAGGACAAGAATTGTAAGGGAGAGGAATATAAGAATAAATACGTACTCTTCTATGTATATGATATAGTTATACATGTATATGTATGTATGTATACACCCCCCTTACAATTCATGTCATATATATGAAATATAAAAATAAATGGCCCATTGATCAACTCCTGTTTTTCCTAACCAATATTGTTGGGCTTCTAGTTCTGGACTGGCAAAAACTAATTACACAAAATGTGTTCTGGAGGCCCTTCAGGAGACATAAACAATGTGGTGCAGGGCTTAAAGGGAGAATCTGGCTATGGAACAATTCACCAGCCCTTTTTGTGTTGAGTATTTTTGAGATATAGTCTAGCGAACTGTATGCCTGGGCTAGTTTTGAACTGTGATCCTCCTGATCTCAGCTTTACCAGTAGCTAGAATTACAGGTGTGAGCCACCAGCATTCAGTTAAGAAACCAGGGTTTAGATGTTCAACCTTGGGCTTTCTCTGTTTTTGAAGTATGAGTTCAATAATTGAAATGAGTGAATAAATTTTATTCTGAATTTTTCTTTTCCTTAAAGTGAGACAGGGTCTCACTATGTTGCCCAGGTTGACATCAAACTTGAGATCCTCCTGCCTCATTCTCCTGAGTGCTGGGATTACAGGTATATACCACCATACCCAGTTTTTTTGTTGTTGTTTTGTTTTGTTTTGTTTTTTGTTTTTTGAGAGAGAGAGATGGGGTCTTTCAATGTTGCCCAGGCTGACCTCAAACTCCCAGGCTCAATCAGTCCTCCTGCTGCAGGTCATTCTACCTCAGCCTTTCCCGAGGAGTTGGGATATAGGCATGCATCACCATACCTGGCTTTTTTCTTGTGTTTATTATGAGCTATTAAAATAAGCTAGCAAGCCTTTCTGTTGAGCTGAGGATAATGGTACAATCGCAGATACTCAGGAGGTGGAGATCAGGAGGATCAAGGTTTGAGACTAGCCAGGCAAAAAGTTATTGAGACCCCCATCTTAACCAATAAACCAAGTGTAGTGGCTCAATACATAATCTCAGCTATGTGGGATGTAGGTAGAAGAATGATGGTCCAAGGCTAGTGCTGGGCAAAACTGAGCCCCTATCCAAAAAACAACTAAAAGTAAAAAATAAGCTTGAGGTGTGGTTGAGGAGGTAGAGAGTGCCTCCTTGAGGCTTGAGGCCTAGAGTTCAAACCCCAATATATGTAATTTTTCTTTCAAGACCCTACTGAAATTTTTTCTATAAAATTTGCTTTCAGGTTTATGTATTTTTTTAAGTACAGAAATGGGAAAGAAGAAAAAAAAAGTTTATGTATTATATATATATATATATTTACATATAATGTGGAAATTATTTATTTATTTATTTTTGTAGCCATTGGAAAAGAAGTTTGTTCGAGTTTCAGGAGAAGCAACTATTGGACATGTAGAAAAATTCCTCAGAAGAAAAATGGGTCTTGATCCAGCATGTCAGGTACAGTACATGTGTGTGAGTGGACAGGTGCAGTTGTGAGACTACCAGAAGCATGCTGAAGGAGACTGTCTAGGACTCCTTGTGGCAGCTCTTATTTTCTGGTGCTATACACAGCGCAGATTCTAATTGGGTGTTATTAATAGTGACTCCCATCCCAACTGTAATCACATTTTATTTACTGTTCCTTCCTTCCTTCTTCCCTCCCTTCCCCTTCCCCTTCCCCTTTCCTTTCTGTATTGGGGATTGAACTACTCAGGCCTTAAGCTTGCTGGGCCATGGCCCCAGCCTTTCTGACCATTTCGTTTTGCCATTGCCATTGATTGCTGTCTCTTGGTGTCAGAGAAAAGCTGAGGCTGCAAGAAATATTAAAGTCTTCCAGGGCCTCAATTCCATCTCTTCTGCAATTGGTAGCCAGCAAAAGATTATTTACCATCCCTTTTCTTCAGAGGACGTTCTTGCCAAGTACATCAAGCAAGCTCAAAACACTTGGAACAGTGAAATACCTGTCTAATGTAGACCCTATTAGGAATTTTTAAGGATTGAAAAATACCTTCTAGCTATATAATATTTTCTTGTTGTAAGGTGGAAACCTTGAACCTTATGTATTGTTGAACATTAAACTAGAATATACTCACAATTCTAGTTATGTGGGTCCAGTGAAAGTGCACATTTATGTATCTTTGCTTTTTCATTAGTCAAATTTGAAAGGAATTCTGTTACTCTTTATATGTGTAAAATTTCACAAGATAATTTGTATCTAAAAGACACAGTTTGGGCTGGTGGGATGGCTCAAGTGGTAGAGCACCTGCCTGGCAAGCGTGAGCCCTTAAGTTCAAGCCCCAGTGCTGCCCCCCAAAAATAAAAATAATAAAATAAAATACACAGTTTGCTGTTGGCTAAACCAGTAGGTATTTTAAACCGTGAAATTGTGCTAGTGTTTTTAGTACCAGTATCTTCTGGTTCTAAAATATATGTATTAAATCTAATGAGATGATTCTTCTCTAACTGATCCTGACATACCTCATGGCAGCTGAAAACTGGAAATGATCTGTCTATTACCTTTGTAGGTGGTTAGGTCTCCCCTACGATCTCCCCGCCTCAATCCCTTCCCTATCCCACTTAAAGTCTGGCCTCCCTCCCTCCCTCTCTTTCTCCCTCCCTTCCTCTCATTATGTAGGCCAGACTGGCCTGGAACTTGTGGCTCAGGTAGTTCAGGGCTTTCTTAGCAAGTACAAGACCCTTTCAAACCCCAGAACTGTTGAAAACAAACAAAACAAAAAAATACTGTCATCACTTCTGAGACTTGATACTATATTCCAGAGCAATTGTGCAGAAAAGAGTTAACCTAGTGGCTCTGAGGCTGATGCTTCTGGGAGTGTGAAACTTGGTAGCTCTAGGCAAAGAATGCTAACATGACCAACCCTCAAGAAAAAGCCTGAATTCTGAACCTCAGACAGGCTTCCTGGGCAGAGACATGGCATGTTGGTTGCTTTTTTGATGCTACAGAGTGGTGTGCCCTGGCTGTGTCTCCCCCTAGACTGGGAGGGGAGAGCTTAGGAGGTCAGCACATGGATTTTTCTGGACTCCCACTCTCCTTCTGCCTATATGTGCTTGCTGTGCCACTGTAACAAATCATAGCCACGGTTACTGAATACTGAATCCACCTAGGGAATTAAACTGTGGGTTTTCTTGGGAACCTATAAAACAAAGAATGGCTTCTGCTTAAATAGACTTATTAAGTATTTATGCTTAGGCCAGGCTCCTGCCTGTAACCCCAGCACTCAGAAGGCTAAGGCGGGAAGGTCCCAAGCTCCAAACCAGTCTGGGCTACACAGTGAGACCCTGTCTCCAAAAAAAATTTTTTTATGATGCAATACCTTTTAAAATACAGTATATAAAGTTGGAAGCAATTTAAATGTCTATCAGGAATGGATACATAAATTTTGATATATTCACACAGTGAAACACTACACAACTATTATATATATACTCCAAAAAATATGCATAGCTTATTAAATTTGAGGGTGGTGGTGAAAAAGAATTTATAAAATGATATGTATGGCATGATTCCATTTATGTAAGAACAAAAGTGAATAGTCAAAATACCCATATATGCATATAGCATCTAGGTTCATACCCCTCAAACAGTGTCTGACCAAGTGCTAAGGGTTGGGATTAAAATGTGGAAGGAAGTTACTGTTTACCTCCTACAGTTTTATGGGGTTTTTTGGTGGGACTGGAGTTTGAATTCAGGATTCTGTGCTTGCTACCACTTGAGCCACAACTCCGGTCATTTTGTTCTGTTTATTAGGGTCCCACAAACTGTTTATTTGGGCTGTCTTCAAGATGTGATCCTACTGATCTCAGCCTCCCAAATAGCTAGAATTAGAGGTGTGAGCCACTGGCACCCAACCAGTTTTATGTTTCTGAAATTTTTTGTTATTATGCATCCTGTTTTTTTTTTTTAATTTGTTACAGTGTTTTGTTTTTTTCTTTTATTTTTATTAGGATATATTCATTGTATAGGGGGGATTCATTGTGACAATTCCAGATAGCCTTACATTGTATATTGGTTAGGTCTCCCCTACCATCTCCCTGCCTCAATCCCTTCCCTATCCCACTTAAAGCAATTGCAAGAGGTTTCAATTGTTCTATTCGTATATTCTCTCACCATCATCTTCTTCATTCATCCTCCTCCTCCCACAAGTACTCTCCCTGCACTGTACACATTTTATAGTCTTGTCTTTCACTATTAATTCCAGAGTCAGTGTTCAAAGGGATTTCTTGATGTATCCCTGCTGTGAATATATTTTGGTCAGTTCAACCCCTTCCATTACTCTTCCTTACCTCTTCCCTCCCACCCCCATTATTCAACAGCTTTCAATACATGTCATTATATCCTCTACCTGCACAGATGTAATGCATTTTGATATTGTTGAAATACATTCCTTCCCTCCTCTCCCAAGTGCCATAGAGTAGTTCCACTATTACAAACATGTTTTGTATATAAATGTGTATATAATCACATTTGTTTTCTGTGTATATGTTTATCTTTGGATCTATCTTTCACATATGAGAGAAAACATGTGGCCTTTGTCTTTCTGAACCTGGCTTACTAGTGAATAAAATTTTTAAAAAATATTTTAAAAAGTCAAGATTGAAAAGAAGCCCGGTAATTGAATATGACTTAACTTCTCAGAGATTCAAGGAATTGTCTTGAATATTCTACTATGCTGTTGTCCTGTTATATCTTCCACTACTCCTCCTCCTACATCATTTTCTTCGTAAAATGTTTCTAAAACATCTCATGAGAATGTTTAATCAATCTAAAGTAAAGTGTAACCTGGAAGGAATTATATTGATTGTCCCCTTCATTTGTTTGACTGGTGTTTTGAAATAGGAAAGTAGTCTGATATGTTCTACTTTTCCATAGGTAGATATCATCTGTGGTGACCACCTGCTAGAGCGGTACCAGACCCTGCGGGAAATCCGACGTGCAATAGGTGATACAGCAATGCAGGTAGGTCTCACACTTTATTAGGCTTGTTCTTAGCATACAAATTTTTTGGGGTTTTTTTTTTTGGTTTTTTTTGTTTTTTTTTTAATTTTTTTTCTTTCTTTTTTTTCTTTTATTATTCATATGTGCATACAAGGCTTGGGTCATTTCACCCCCACCCCCACCCCCTCCCTTACCACCCATTCCGCCCCCTCCTTCTCCCCCCCATCCCCTCAATACCCAGCAGAAACTATTTTGCCCTTATTTCTAATTTTGTTGTAGAGAGAGTATAAGCAATAATAGGAAGGAACAAGGGTTTTTGCTGGTTGAGATAAGGATAGCTATACAGGGAGTTGACTCACATTGATTTCCTGTGCGTATGTGTTACCTTCTAGGTTAATTCTTTTTGATCTAACCTTTTCTCTAGTTCCTGGTCCCCTTTTCCTATTGGCCTCAGTTGCTTTTAAGGTATCTGCTTTAGTTTCTCTGCGTTAAGGGCAACAAATGCTAGCTAATTTTTTAGGTGTCTTACCTATCCTCACCCCTCCCTTGTGTGCTCTCGCTTTTATCATGTGCTCAAAGTCCAATCCCCTTGTTGTGTTTGCCCTTGATCTAATGTCCACATATGAGGGAGAACATACGATTTTTGGTCTTTTGGGCCAGGCTAACCTCACTCAGAATGATGTTCTCCAATTCCATCCATTTACCAGCGAATGATAACATTTCGTTCTTCTTCATGGCTGCATAAAATTCCATTGTGTATAGATACCACATTTTCTTAATCCATTCGTCAGTGGTGGGGCATCTTGGCTGTTTCCATAACTTGGCTATTGTGAATAGTGCCAATAAACATGGGTGTGCAGGTGCCTCTGGAGTAACCTGTGTCACAGTCTTTTGGGTATATCCCAAGATGGTATTGCTGGATCAAATGGTAGATCAATGTTTAGCTTTTTAAGTAGCCTCCAAATTTTTTTCCAGAGTGGTTGTACTAGTTTACATTCCCACCAACAGTGTAAGAGGGTTCCTTTTTCCCCATCCTCAACACCTGTTGTTGGTGGTGTTGCTGATGATGGCTATTCTAACAGGGGTGAGGTGGAATCTTAGTGTGGTTTTAATTTGCATTTCCTTTATTGCTAGAGATGGTGAGCATTTTTTCATGTGTTTTCTGGCCATTTGAATTTCTTCTTTTGAGAAAGTTCTGTTTAGTTCACTTGCCCATTTCTTTATTGGTTCATTAGTTTTGGGAGAATTTAGTTTTTTAAGTTCCCTATATATTCTGGTTATCAGTCCTTTGTCTGATGTATAGCTGGCAAATATTTTCTCCCACTCTGTGGGTGTTCTCTTCAGTTTAGAGACCATTTCTTTTGATGAACAGAAGCTTTTTAGTTTGAAGAGTTCCCATTTATCTATGCTGTCTCTTAGTTGCTGTGCTGCTGGGGTTTGTTGAGAAAGTTCTTACCTATACCTACTAACTCCAGAGTATTTCCTACTCTTTCCTGTATCAACTTTAGAGTTTGTGGTCTGATATTAAGTTCCTTGATCCTTTTGAGTTAATCTTGGTATAGGGTGATATACATGGATCTAGTTTCAGTTTTTTGCAGACTGCTAACCAGTTTTCCCAGCAGTTTTTGTTGAAGAGGCTGCTATTTCTCCATCGTATATTTTTAGCTCCTTTGTCAAAGATAAGTTGCTTATAGTTGTGTGGCTTCATATCTGGGTCCTCTATTCTGTTCCACTGGTCTTCATGTCTGTTTTTGTGCCAGTACCATGCTGTTTTTATTGTTATTGCTTTGTAATATAGTTTGAAGTCAGGTATTGTGATACCTCCAGCATTGTTCTTTTGACTGAGTATTGCCTTGGCTATTCGTGGCCTCTTGTGTTTCCATATAAATTTCACGGTAGATTTTTCAATCTCTTTAATGAATGTCATTGGAATTTTTATGGGAATTGCATTAAACATGTAGATTACTCTTGGGAGTATCGACATTTTTACTATGTTGATTCTACCAATCCATGAGCATGGGAGATCTCTCCACTTTCTATAGTCTTCCTCAGTCTCTTTCTTCAGAAGTATATAGTTTTCCTTGTAGAGGTCGTTCACATCCTTTGTTAGGTTTACACCTAGGTATTTGATTTTGTTTGAGGCTATTGTAAATGGAATTTTTTTCATACATTCTTTTTCAGTTTGCTCATTGTTAGTGTATAGAAGTGCTAATGATTTTTCTATGTTGATTTTTATATCCTGCTACCTTGCTATAGCTATTGATGATGTCTAGAAGCTTCTGAGTAGAGTTTTTAGGGTCTTTAAGGTATAGGATCATGTCTTCTGCAAATAGGGATATTTTGACAGTTTCTTTACCTATTTGTATTCCTTTTATTCCTTCTTCTTGCCTAATTGCTCTGGCTAGGAATTCCAGTACTATGTTGAAAAGGAGTGGAGATAGTGGGCATCCTTGTCTGGTTCCTGAGTTTAGAGGGAATGGTTTCAGTTTTTCTCTGTTAAGTATACAAGTTATTTTTTAGTTCCATGTTATCTGTGAAGTTTTCATAAATACTCCACAAAAATTATCTGGACTAGGGTTAGTGGAGTGGCTCAAGTGCTAGAGCACTTGCCTCCTAAGCATGAGGCCCTGAGTTAAAAAAAAAAAGATCTGGATTAGCTCATTTATTCCTCATAGTTAATGTATGGGGTCAATAGTCTTTTGTCCCTCATCTTAAAGTCAAGGCAATTAAGGTATTGAAAGGACACATTATCTCCCACAGTGAGTTGATAAGTAAACCAGGCTCAAACCCCAGGCAGCTCAGGTCCAGAGGCCTTGATCTTTTACCTGTCCTGTACTTTGGTAGAGTTTTGAAGGCTACTAAGTTACAAGATGGGCATACATTCTAAGAAAAAAATGCATCATTAGACAATTTGATCTGGTAAGGGTACAAATTACAATTATCCTTCAGTTATAGGTATTCTTATGTTATTATGATAATAGTTTGGCAGAGTAGCAAAGGTAATGGAAGTGAAATGATTAAAGGCCCTCAGTGGTTTTTTGTTTGTTTTGGTGGGAGGGGATGTAGTCTTGCTATGCAGTGCAGGTGGCCTTGAACTCCCAGTCCTTCTGCATTAGCCTCCCCAGTGCTGGGATTATAGAAGTGTACCACTATGCCCAGCTCTCTCATTTTTCTTTAAGATGGCCATTATTATTAACTAGTATTTGTGATTCAAAAAGAAAGGAGAAGACTTAGCCATCTTTCTATTTCTTTGTAAATGTAGCTGGCTTTTCTATTAAGAAGTAATTTTCCTGTTTTCAAAAAGGACTCGTAGAAACATGAGGTGTAAGTTACAATACAGTGAAAATACAGGCTTAGTGGTAGCATGTTAAGACTTACTGAAAAGAATCTTCAAGCTATGGGGAAAAATCCATTGATCAGCCTGACTGGTTCATTGACGAATAGCATATACGATATGAAATTGCTTAGAGCTGGGAGCAAGACAAGATAATAAACATTTCTTGAGCCTTTACTGTGTGTTATGTACTAATAAGAGGTGCAGAAGCTCAATGTGTTGCCTTGTATAAGTCTCACAACTTTAAGGGAGAAGAGCAATTATGCTCTTTTAAAAACCTTTTTATTTTGAAATAATTTGAAACTTACAGAAGTTTACAAAAATATACTGAGTTCCTATGTTGGTAGCACCCAACATTCTTTAATATTAATATCTTGTATAACCACAGTATAATTATCAAAACTAAGAAATTAACAGTGCTACAATATTTTAAACTGCAAACATTTGAATTTTCCCATTAACATCCTTGTGTTTTCTGTCTCAGGATCCACATTCAGGATTTCACATTGCCTTTTGATTTCTTGTCTGCCTTTTTCCCAGTTCCCCAGTCCCTTGTCTGTCATGATTTGTTGCTTTTTGTTTGTTTCTGGTGCTGGAGATTGAGTCAAGGATCTTGCACATGTTAAGGTGTGCCACTGAGCTACACTCCCAGCTCCAGGCTTCCATGTTGTTAAAGAATACTAGTCAGTTTACTAGACTGTCCTCTCTTGGTTTGGATTTGTCATGGCTAGATTGAGAAATCATGTGCCTTTCTCAGTATATCATATCAGGAAGTATATGAAGTCAATATTTCTTGATATGAGTGGATTCTTTTCTTTGTAGGTATAAATAAATATCTTGGGGGAAAATACTTTGAAACTACACAAATGTCCCATTTCTCAACCTGTGGTAATTCTAATATTCATCAGTGGATCTTACAGACAAAGAGATAGGTGTAGAGAGGTTAAGTAATTTTCCTGGCATCATTTGGCTGGTTAGTGGTAGGATCAGAATTCACTGTTGAAAAATTTGAACTAAAAGTCAGTCCTCCCCACCCCATGCCCCTCACCCCTCACCTCTGACCCCAGGACTGAGCCCAGACTCTTGTGTGCTGAACTATATCCCTACCCTAAAGCTCAGGCTCTTAATTGAGGGTATCCAAATACCTTTTTTTTTGTGTGGAAATGGTTATTTGGTTATTGTTACACAGTTTTCAGAAATAGATGACCTTACTGGTAGTCTACATTTTATTAACAAAGTCAAAAGCATCTTCATAAAATATAAAAGCAAAATTTTTCCTAGTTAAGTAAATTATATTTAGGTTATAAGCATAATGTTTCTTGAAAATTTTATAAGGTCAAACTTTAGAAATCTTAAAAAATAATTATTGTCAGCTGGGCATAGTGATACATTCCTATAATCTTAGCTACTTGGGAGGTAGAGGCAGGAAGATTGCAAATTTGAAGACAGCTCCAGCAGTTAGTGAGACCCTATCTCAAAAACAAAATACAAACAAGAGGACTGGGCCTGGTGGAGTGCTCAAGTGGTAGAGCGCCTGTCTAGCAAGTGTGAGGCCCTGAGTTCAAACCCCATGCTGCCTGAATAAATAAATAAAAGAGGACTGGGGGCATGGCTCAATCCCTAGTACCACCAAAAAAAAAAGTTGACTAGAAATTTTGATTGGGGTGCAGTGTACACAGTGTATGCATGTATGGGGACATCGTAATGAAACTCCTTTGTGCTAACAAAAATAATAATAAGCTTAATTAAAAATGTGTGAGTTGAGGGGTCAATGGGTGGGTAGAAAACACGATTTTAAAAATTATTTAGAGTACTATTCTAGACACATGAGATTCAGAGATGAGCGGGACTAGAAGCCTAAAGAGCCTGTAACATGATCAGTCTTCATCGACAGTGTAAGTCATGGGATTTTGCAGCTTCATGAGTGACTTATCTCTGGTGAAAGGGAGAGCTAGGATGCAGTGAGTGGGGAGAGGAGTCAGAAAATAAGATCATGTAGAACCTTGGTGGTCATGGCAAAAGCTTTGGGGTTTAATTTAGTATGCTGTGAAACTACTGATTGATAGCTTTTGTGTGTGTGTGTGTGTGTGTGGCACTGGAGTTTGAACTCAGGGCCTCATGCTTGCTAGGCAGGCGCTCTACCACGTGAGCTGCTCCACCAGCCCAATTGGAGAGTTTTGAGACAAAATGAATGCCATAATCTGACTTACGTCATAGAAAACTTTGGTTGGATAGTGTCTTCGTCTGTTTGTGTTGCTATAACAAAATATCTTGAGGATCAGTAACTGTAAGAGGTTTACTTGGCACATGACTGGTAGCTGGAAGGTCTGAACAGCATAGTGCTGGTGTCTTGGCCAGGGCCCACTGGCTGAGAAGTCAAAAGGGAACCAGCAGCTTGTAGAAGGGGCATGTGTCAAAGACAGCAAGCAGAGACAACTGAACTTGCTTCATAGCAATCCTTTTTTGGGGAGAGGATGGGGGGAGCAGTGCTGGGGATTGAACCCAGGGCTTTGGGCATGCTAGGTAACCTCTCTACCCCTAAGCTACACCCCAAGCTAACAGCCCATTCTTCAGGGAATTAATCCAGTCCCTGGAGACCTGACCCATTCTCTTAAGGCACACTAATTCATTCTTGATGGTAGAGCCCTATGATCTAATTATTTTCCATTAAGTTCCACCATCTCATCACTTTGAGTTGGAAACCAAGCTTCCAGCACAGGAACTTTTGGGGACAAAGCATGGTATATAGTCAAAGTAAGACCATGGACAGACATCTAAATAGGAAATATAAACAGGCAATATTTATGTATCTTATTTATAGAGTGTAAACATAGACATCTAAATATAAATTTGAGTTATAAGCAATTATTTCATAAAGTGTGAATTTATACATGCATTAAAGAATTTATACATACATTTTGAGGCCTTCAAACAACTTGTAAGATACAATTTCAGTTTTATATCTGCATATCAATATATTTTATAAAATGATGCTTTTCATTTCTGAATTGTAACTATATATAAAAATTAACATTATGCAAAATATAATTTGTATGCATGGAAATCTGTTAATTGATTCTTTCTACTTGGGTTGTATGAATTCATTTACTTTAATAATGCTAATTAGGCTAGAACAGATCTGCTGGGCCATGAGCCAAGCATGGTATGGGGTAATGCTTTATTTTACTTTGTGTTTTACGTGTTTTTTGAGTTTAATTTCTTTCAGATAGGCTTCTGCTCTTTGATTTGCTTCTGGCCTTTGTCAATTGCTGTTGACTCACCTGCCTAACATATGTATTTATTTTTGTTACTTTCTTGGTCCTTGTGAGCATTTGAATTTGTGAACTCTCTTTTGGAATTCTGGTGTGTTTTGGCTGGAGTTGCCAGGAACAGAGGCCAGATTGTGCAGTGAGTTGAGTAGCAGATGAGAAATAAGGAAGGAAAGCCACAGAAAAGCTTCACAAAGAAGAAAAAGGTCAGGAGACATAATGAGAGCAGACTGACAGTGCAAGGCATGTGTGCCACTGTCTGCATTACTCAGGGCAGGTCTTTGGCTCATTTCCCCTTGAGTCTTTATTTTTTTTTTAAACTATTTTTCCAGTGCATAGGAAGGTAGAAATAGTACCTTATGAAAGTACATTACATATTGAGGGGTAGAGTTAAGACTTGAGCCAGGAGCCAGTGTTAATCCTAGCTACTTCAGAAGCTGAGATTTGGAGAATCAAAGTTCAAGGCCAGCCTGGGCAAATAGTTCTCAAGATCCCATCTCCAAAGTAACCGTGTGGCTCAGGTGGTACAGTTACCTGCTTTGCAAATGCAAGGCCCTTAGTTCAAACCCCATTTCCACCAAAAGAAAAAAAGGCCTGATACCAAGAAAGGAGACAGAAACCCACCAAAAAGATGATAAAAAAGACTTGTAAACACAGCTTCTGGAATATTTAGTATAAGGTTAGGTTGACCAGCAACTCCTGAGAACAATCTTCAAGAAAGAAGTAAGATAGACGATATATTTTAGATTTCCCTTAAATAGGTGAGAGTTTCAGAGTTTTATCACTTACAATAGTAGTAAGCTGCATTTATATGGAAGTGAACATTTCATTTCTTATTCTTAAACAGTTCCATGATGCTTTATGATAGTTGAATCTTTTTTTAGGCAAACCCAATGCTTAGGTAGTCTGTGAAGGAGGAAAGCCCTATCTCTTTAGTTCTTGTTTTTGTTTTTTTATAAATTGTTTTGTTTGTTTTGAGACAGGGTCTCCCTTTACAGTTCAGGCTGCTTTGAACTCATGATCCTCCTCCCTCAACCTCCTGACTGGTGGGATTAGAGGCATGTGTCATCATACCTGGCTTATTCTTTTAGTTCTTTCTGGAGAATCATGTAGTCATAAACACTCCTGGTTAACTATTGTTACATAACAATCACAGAATTGGCTCCTGACAGTCAGTTAAAAGACAAATTGAGCCTGGCCTGGTGGCACATCTGTAGTCCCAGCTGGTTGGAAGGGTGAGGCAGAAAGATCGCTTGAGTCCAGGAATTCTAGACCAGTCTGTGCAAAATAGCAAGACCCCATGTCACCAAAAAAAAAAAAAGGAAAGATAAGACACATTGACATGCAGTGTTTGATGAGGTAAGTAAATTGACAGCTGTATTTATTTGGATTCCTTGTTTTCTTTAAATCAAAGAATTTCGTATTAATGTTGGGTTATGAAAAATAAGCCAGCTTTGATTTATTTATGTTGCTAATTTTCAAAGAACTACAAAACAGTCCTTCTTTCCTCCATTTTCAGGATGGCCTGCTTGTCCTTCATTATGGTCTTGTGGTTTCTCCTCTGAAAATAACTTGAAGATGCTGGGGTGCCACAAGGAGGGAAACAAAGAAAGGAAGCTTCTGCAAGACTGCATCTCACCAAAGATTTCCACAAAACATGTGCCGTTCAAGACATAACTGGCCTGTTTTCAGCACCAGGAATCGTAGTGTTTATAGGTACAGCCTGGGACATGGAATGCATCTGTTTCACTAGAGACTGTGTGTAAAAAGGATTCAGAGCTCAGGGGAAAAATCCAAAACATTTAACTTTAAAATTCCTTATGATTCCAAATACTTTGAAGTTGATTTTTGCTTCCCACCTTTGAGGTAAACTGTTTACTGTTTTCTCTCCTTTGTTGAGCCAGATCCCTTTCAAGTTGGTGGTTGGGCTTCTGTTGTCTGGATGGAATCATCTGGACTGGTTTTCCTTTTGGAAACATGAAGATACTTTTGAACCAGAGATTCAAAGCCAGTCTTTGTTAAACCATCATGTGTACTCTCAAAGACCCAAACTATTGACTACTTTGGTATGTTGCCATCATATTTTGAACTTGTATCTTTTTTTTTTTAATATCAGCAACACTACTAAAGAATGTTTTGTTCCTAAATGAATGAATTATTCTTTTGTGTGAAGAGACTGTCTCCTGTAGGGTTTATGACCTTTGCCATAAGCCTTCAGTGTAATAAGACATCTTAACATTTCTTACAATAAGAGGTGCTTCTTTGTGATGATATTTAAAATTTTTTTTTGCATAATTGGTTGTTATCAGTGCCACTGATGTAGGGGTATCCTGCAAGATTCCCATGCTGTGGTTGTTGATACTTTGTATTGGCACTGCTTCTGGAAGTAATTAAAAATTTCAGGTGAATTTCAGAAGTTTACAGAACACTTACTTATTGTTTCTCAGTAAATAAGCTTTACTGATTTAATGTTTATTTTTCCCATTACTTTGTCACTGGGATAAAGAATAACTTTGTTTAGGAGCTCAGTTTCATGCAAAGACTTCAGTTTTAAACATTTATTTTGCCTAAAATTAGCATCCTGATGCTTTCTAAAAGAAGTATTTTGTAGATTATATTTCACAGCAAAATTTCCAAATCTGTATAGAAAACTTAGAAAATTGGACACAGATTGGCAATTGTTTTGTAAAGATTTTGTGAATTGTGTATAAATCTCTTCTAACATTTAATAAAAATTTATTTTAGCCTATTTTGAGATGTGTTTACTGTGGATTTTTTTTAAATGACCAAAACTTTTTAAGAGACAGGTGTCTCTGAAATTGCCATGAAATAGATATCCAATAAACATCTTTGTCTTCACTGATTGAGCTTAATACTGTTGTTTCACAATGGACAGAGTAGTAACTATAGTTAGTTACTATAGTAAGTAAATAGTTATTTACTTACTATTTTAATTTTTATCTCATGTTAACTATCTATATTGGGGTCCCCAAGGCTACCTTTGGATTTAATGGTTCACTGGAAGGATTCACAGGACCCAGAAAAGCTGCTGGTATACTCATGGTTATTGTTTATTACTTCAAGATAATACAGATTACAATCAGCAAAGGGAGGTAAGCAGTAAGATGGAATCTAGGAAAACCAGGCACAAGTCTCTAGTTGTCTTCTTCCAGTAGAGTTGCATGGATAGGCTTAGTTCTCTTAGCAATGAAGTGTGACTAGTGAAGTGTTGCCAACCAGGGACGTATGGCCAAGGCTTAGTGTCCATGGTTTTTATTGGGAGTCAGTCAAGTAGGCATCTGGTGCCTATGTGATTGATTAGTTATTAGACCCCAGAACCTGCCAAGAAGTCAAACTGATAGAAAGCATGGTACAGGGCCTAGGTATACCAAAAGAGGCATTCACCATAAATCATAGTATCAGCACAGGCTATCTGGTGTGGTCTGAGATCTCAGGTATACAAAGACAGTCAAAGCTTGCTGAGTTAACTGTTTATGTACAATATCTTAAGTCATAAATCCAGATTTAGAAATAGAGATACAGCCTGCCTTGGTGGTGCACAGCTACTCAGGAGGCTGAGGTAGGGGGTCACTTGATCCCAGGAGTATGAGACCCCGAGACCCATCTCGAGAAAAGAGAGAGAGAAAGGAAGGAAAAGAAAGAAATGCAAGACGATCTAGCTTATGATTTATAAATAGCTTGGCCTTTAGTAGCTACTTAGAATGCCCATTTATAATAAAAAAGTTGACCAGAGCAAAACCAGAGATAGTATTAGTGTTTAAAAATTGTTATCTTGAAATGACCAAGCCTTGCATGCACATATGAATAATAAAACAATAAAAAAAAATTGTTGTCTTGAAGCTGTGTGCCTGTAATCCCAGCTACTTGGGAGGCTGAGACAGGAAGATGGTGAGTTCAAAACCAGCCTGGGCAGCATAAGAAATCCCCTCATGGGGAAAAAAGATCATTAGTTTTATGCCCAGATGTTTTCAAACATCAAAGATAATTTAACCAACTGTTTTAAGGACGAGTTTGTCCACAAGGAGGATCAATTGTAGACTTCAACTACTCTGAGTTTTTCTCAAGTAACTCTTCCCACCATGATTTATACTAACGTGGGAAAATTATTTAAAGTAGAATAGTAAAGCTAATTATTTGATAAATACTTATGCAAGGAAGAAGTGAAAAATATCACTTGTTAGACATTGTTTGGACAAGATTTAGGAGACTAGTCTTTTGCCAAGGAACTCATAGCTTATGGATAACAACATGTTTTAAGAATCTAGTAAAAGGGAGATACTGGCAAGTACTCTAAAAAAAATCACAAAGACCCCAATACAGGAAAAAAACAAAACAAAACACAAAGACCTCTGTTCTCTTTCTTTTTCCTGAACTTGACCTCCATGGTTATATCTACTGTTGGTTTACAAATCATAACCACTTCCAAAACCAGTGAGTTCTTGGACTACATCAACAGAAATACAGTTTCAGATCAAGGAATTAATATTCTAATCTCTAGTGCATCTGATGTTCAGTTCAGGGTAGCATACCTCAAAAGTGCTGATAGATAGAAGGGTTTCCAGGAGAGGGCAGCAGGGTGAGGTGGAGACCTACACGTCAAACAAGATCAAGGTTGAACAACTGCTTTGGTTAACTTGGAGAAGTTAGTTGGACGTGAGGAAGCAATACGCTGTAGCAGTCTTCAAATAACCAGAAGGTCAAAGGCAAATGGGGGAAGTCCAAGCAAGAATGAACAAGTTCCCTGTTGACTCACTCAGGTTCCACACTACCTAAACCTACTTCACCTCTGCTGAAAGTCCACAGGGCCTGGATGGACAAGGGTTAGCATTGCATCACCACCAGCGGCAGGCATTTAGTTTAGCTGAGAGAAGATGGAAGTCTTTTTCCAAAGGAATTTTTACTAGGAGCATAAACGGAAACAAAATTTAAATCTGAAATCTACACAGTTGTTTTCAAGTAAGATCATATGATATAGACTCAAGAACCTGGCTTCAATGGCTGAAGACTGGGACAGCTGGCAGGTCCCTTTGCTTTGCCTAAGCCCTAAGTGAGGTGATAGGGATGTTTGTGCAGTTGGTGTTTGGCAGAATGCGCTCAGCAAGTTTCCTCAGTTCTTCCTTTAAATGTCACCCTGTTTTCTCTCACATAGGTTGCAGCATGTCCTCCGAGCTTGGGCTTCACTGAGCTTCCCTTCTATTTCCACTGCATTGCCTTCTTTATTTTCACTCTTTGGTCATACTGGGGTTTTGAACTCAGGGCTTTGCACTTGTTAGGCAGGTGATCTACCACCCAATCCACACCTCCAACCCTTTTGCCTATTATTTTTGAGACAGGATGTTGCATTTTTTGCCTGGCTGGCCTGGACTGCAGTCTTCCTATTTAGGCCTCCCACATAGCTGAGATAACAGGTGTGCACCACTTATGCCCAGCTTTATTGGTTGAGATGGGGGGGTCTTCCCTAACTTTTTGCCCAGGTTGGCTTCTAACTGCAATCCTCCTCATCTCTGCCTTCTGAGCAGCAGGGATTACAGGTGTGAGCCACTACACCTGCCATGCATTGCCCTTTTTTCCTGATTGAAACAAATACATTCCTGTCTTGTCTCTGATGACTACTTCTCTGGGCTTCCAAGCTAACGTGGACCTTGCATGTTCTTCACCCCTATCCTACAGTGACATGGTTTAGAATTCCTGAAAGTAATGTTGTAGGACCCATTTATTTGTCCTAGTCAGCTTGTCCTAAATGTATACTCCAAGATGAATGTTCTCATAGGGTCACCAGGTCATAATTGCTTATCAGATGTATGTGTGATTAATTGCTGAAATTTTTGTTTTTTGTTTTTTTCCTTAAAATTCTAATAGTCTCAGTCACTATGCTGCATTTTGTTATCCCAACAGTCACTGGTGGTAGGGAAGATTCAAGCAGATGCTGATTCTAAATGCTCGCCTTTGTTTCTCTAGTAGCCCATGACTTATGAGTAAGTCCTATTTTTTATGCTCTTTCAATGTGCTTGTTGTACACATAAATTTGATTATTGGCCTCTCTTCAAAACTAGTGAAATCTAAATTTTATTACCTACAGAGATTAATAGTCTTCTCACAAATGAAATGCTATATTGATCTCCTGAAAGCCTGCTTAGTACTTGGAATGGATACTATGGCTTTTTATCTCTGCTACATTTTGATTTTCTTCTGATGGTGTCTGCAGTCTTCCAAGGGTTCATATTGGAAAATTATTTTCATTGAAATGAGAAAAGATTTTCTTTCTTCTAATGTTTCTGAGAAAACATTTTCCCAATGGAAAAACTAGCTGTATACTATTTTAAATTAGAAGATGAAGAAGGCAAAGGGTGCTAGGAACATATTTTTTCCCAGAAAAGACATGAAGGCAACATTTGCATAATGGCTAGGGACGTAAATTCTGAAGCCACACCGCACAGCTTTTAAAGCCAGCTTTGCTGCTTGCAAACTATGTGATCTTGGACATGTTATGCAATTTCTTGAAACTTCAGTTTTTCTTTACTGTCAAAGGGGGCAATGGTACCTAATTCAAAGGGCTGTCATGACAATCAAGAGAATATGAAAAGCACTACCTGACTTAGTCCATCAAGCTCAAATATAGTCTTTATTTACTCATTTCTCAGGTTACTTCAGGTATCAGTTCCTCTCCCTCCTGTGTTTCTTTCTTCCTTCCTCCCTCCCCCTTTCTTTTTCCTTTCCCTTTCCTTTTTTGACAGGGTCTTTCTATGTAGTCCTGGCCAGTCTGGAACTTGCTATCCCACCTCAGCTTCCTGCTGGAATTTTTGATGTG